TAGGACGGGCGGGTGGGGGTCGGAGTGGCCGAGACCCACGCCTGCCACTGAGCCACGAAACACACGGGGGGGTCAGTGGGGGGGTCGGGGGTGGCCTCGGGCTTCTCAGCAAGGCCTACCCTGCAGGGTGGCTGTTGTAGATTCAGTGGGGAGACCAGGAGCCAGGGCTCCACCTCCTACAGCATATCCTTCCATTAAGGCTATGCACGATTCTGGGCAGTTTACAGTTAAAAGAAATATAAACTTCATTATGGAACATAGTGTAATATAATAACCGAACACCATTTTTTTATGGTTACTGAGGTTCCCTGGAGAATCCTAGAAGCTTGGAGCTGGAAAGAACACACACACCCCCGGGGCCACCTCAAGCCCACCGCCCAACATCCTCTCTTGCCAGAAGGGCCTTCCTTCCAAGGGTCTAGTCCCCATCTCCTTTCTCCTAAGGTGAACCCCACAACTGGGGGTGCCACCCTCAGGCTCCCATCTTTGGCACAGCGGCCCTTCGAACACTGGAAGCGGGCTGCTGTCCCACTGGGGCTCTTTGCTGGCCGCACCCAGCGTTGTCCCCCCCCCAAAAAAAACTGCACCTCCCGCCAAGCTGTTTCCCAGTAATGTGGCGCCAGTTGTGGCGTGGTCAGCCTGCACGTGGCAGTCCACCTCCAGCCACGTGGGTTGAGAAAGGGTGGGAACCTTACGCTATAGAAATTACACGCAGGGGTGAATATGACAGAGCTGGTTAATGCAATATCTTCATTAAATGTACAGTATTCGGAATTACACCTTAATTTCCCTTTCCAATTCCTGGATCCGCCCTTCTTTGGATAAAGTAATTATCAGGGAGTTGCACTTATTTCAATTACGCTACATTTATAATCGTTTCCATACGTAAAAACAATTCTGTTCTTTCAATATTCATGTTGCTAATATAATTAGCTGGCAATTACGCCCAGGCAGACACAGGAAAGATATTCCAGTCTGACAACACACCTGCTGGCTTCTGCAGAGGCACATTTACAAACAACTTATTGGAACTCGGGGATTATCAACCAGACAACAGTTATTTTCCCAAATATTGTCAGGGTTTTTTTAAAAAGTCATACATCTCACTTCACACGTGAGATTGACCGTCTTTGCTACTGCTGGATGCGGGTGGGAGGGAGGTTTATGGGGCGTCCCCTGTGTAGGTGGGGGTGGGCAGGTGGTGCATGGTTGGCTATCCTGCCAGGAGAGGCGAGCTGAGTTTTTGGGCCGACGTGTCTCATCCTGTTCACACTGTTGCAGAGTTCCTTCACCGGGAGCAGCCAGCTGAGGAAGTCCCCATCAACTTACAGATCCAAGGCAAATGGAACAGACACTGGTCACCCCCTGCTCTCCTGGAAGGCTGCCACTACGTTTGGCCAGAGAGCTTCCGTGCAGCCCAGAAGGTGCTTGCCAGGTAAAGGGAGGGGCGGGACGGTTTGCCAGCTTTTCCTGCTGGCTCAGCTCCTGCACTGTGAATAGCGACGAAGCTCTTCTCTGTGGCCAGTTGAAGTCTCCTGAGCAGATTACGACAGGATCTTGGTCACGCCTGGTTGGAAGAAAACCCCGCTGAACTCAATAGAGACCTGCTATACAAATGGAGCCCGACTGACTGGCGGATGGATTGCGAACTCTGGCAGCAAGTGTCAGCTACAAAGCAGGGAGAAAGGCAGAAACATTAAGAAACAACAGGGAAGAGGATCAAGCCTGCTTTGGGACGCTCCGTTTGCCTCTGATCTCCGAAATGGCACTTTGAACCTGGAGGGTCTCCTTCTGAGCCCCATAACGGAAACACGGCCACACAGTGGCTGAAATCCAGTGGCTGGTCCCAAGTCCAGCAGGCCCACAGGCTCAACTGTGGATCCCGTGGGCATGCTGTAGTTGGGACCACCAGCCGTGGGATTGTGGCTGTTGCGACTCGTCCCTTTGGCGTACTTTTAAAAAGATTCCCTAATACTTCTCCCTGCCCACAACCCAGAAGCACAGTCGCAAAGTGCACCATCTCCTCTTCCCTCCCGTCGCCCCTGACATGCCCCCCATTCAACATCATCCGTGACTTGTCCTGAGGTGTGCCAGCGGCCTCTCGGACAGCCGAACAAAGGAATCACGGGTTTTTCTTTTCCTTTTATGTCACAAACTCTGTTTGCAGATCCCTCTCCAGAAAAAGCTTCCCTAAGACAGCTGGTGAAACCCTGAGGTCTACAGCCATCACCCCAAGATTCTCCTTGAAAACGGGCTGAAGGAAGCACCACCACCTCGCCCGATACCGATTGGTCAGCGTTTCTGGAATGAAGCTTTCTTGGTTTGGTTTTCAGCTCTGGGAAGGTGGAGAGTAGGATAAATTAAGAACTGTTTATACCTTGTTGCCAGTAAGTCATTAACAAGTCAAATTCTGCAGAGAGACAGACTCCTTTAATATTAATTACCGGGCATATGAAATATGGAGATTGCACTCACTGGGGTTTAGCAGGAAGGACAAACCCTCCTGGAGTCCTTGCTCCCTCGGGCCTTTGCACTGAAACAGTACGTTTACAGCTTGGGTTATTTGAGGGACTAGTTAATCTTTTACCACACTAGTACATTTTAAGCTCTGGTCAGAAACGAAATGGCCCGTGCAGAGAGAAGCCATAAAAGGAAGGTGCAGGTGCTCTTGGCGGCCAGGTCTCAGAAAGTAGTATTTTAAATAATAAATCCAAGAGGAGCAGCCCAAGAGAATCCGGGGAAGCGACCGAGGATGCTTCTGTGGTGGTTCTGAGGTCAGAATTCCTTCCCCTGGAGGGAAAACACAGGACAAGATAAGGGTTGAGGGCCAGCAGATTTAAAAAAAAAAAAACAGAAGAGAAGCAGAGAACCCTAAACCTCTTAAGGGCTGCCTATAGAGATCTGTGTGGCGGAGAAGTCTCTTACCCGAGGGCCAGGTCGGGCAGGCCAAGAGGTTGGTATGGCGGGATCCTCCGCGTTGGGCACCCACA